CCATCTCCGGTTCCATCCCGGTTCCATCCCGGTTCCATCCCGGTTCCAGCCTGGTCCCACCCCCGTTTCCAGCCCGTTTCTGACCTCCAGCAGTCTGGAGATGGCGTCGGGCTCCACGCGGCTGCGGTTGTCGTAGCAGGGCCAGATGACGCGGCGCTTGCTCTGCGGGGCCGCCGTGTCCTGGCGCTCCGGCTCCTCCGGCGGCTCCGGCTGCGCCAGCTCCCAGTCGTACGAGGGGCCCTCGGCCAGCGTCTCCTCCGTGTAGTAATCCCACACCTTCAGGTTGGAGATGTTGCTGTACGGCCTCAGCACCTGCGGGAGCGGCGGCTCAGCAAGGACAGCGCGGCCAGGCTGGACATCCCCGGCCGGACCGAGGGGACGGAGCGACCCCAGGGAACTGGGAGAGTGCTCCAGGGAGAGATTCTAGAACATTCCAGGGCCTGCAGGGGCTCCAGGAGAGCTGGGAATGCTCCCCTGGAGAGGAGAAGGCTCCAGGGAGAGCTCAGAGCCCCTGCAGGGCCTGAAGGGGCTCCAGGAGAGCTGGGAATGTTCCCCTGGAGAGGAGAAGGGTCCAGGGAGAGCTCAGAGCCCCTGCAGGGCCTGAAGGGGCTCCAGGAGAGCTGGGAATGTTCCCCTGGAGAGGAGAAGGCTCCAGGGAGAGCTCAGAGCCCCTGCAGGGCCTGAAGGGGCTCCAGGAGAGCTGCAGAGGGACTGGGCCAGGGCTGCAGGGCCAGGAGCCAGGGAATGGCTCCCAGTGCCAGAGGACAGGGCTGGATGTTGGCAATTGGCAATTCCCAGAGCTGCAGGTGCCCCCAGCTCTCACCTCCCCGTCCTCAGGTGCGTACAGGTAGTTGAAGAAGACGGGAGATTTCTTGTTGAGGCGGTCGATGTAATCCCAGATGGATTTGGTGACCTGCTGGCCCTTCCTCTCGCCCTTCTCCTCGTACAGGAGCCCTGGGGGACACGGGGGACACGGGGGGACACGGGGTGTGACGGGGGCACGGGCAGGAGCCGGCCCCGGCCCCGCACGCCGCCCTCACCCAGCTCGATGCGCTCGTAGTCCGAGTCCAGCAGGAATGTCCGGAAGCGGTTGGAAATGTAGTGGTAGCTGAGGAACTTCAGGTAGTACAGGCTGAACTCGAACTCCATGGGGAACTGCAGGTGGATCTGCGGGGACGGGAGAGCCCCGCGATGGCCGCGACCCACGGGCTGCGCCCTCCCGGCCGCCCCAGGAGGGTCCTGATGGCCACTCGGGGGTCCTGCTGGCCACTCGGGGGTCCTGATGGCCACT